GTGGCTTTTTCAAAAAAGAGAATTAATTAGCTTGGTGAGGCGGGGGGTAACACAATTCAATCTACAGCTCTCACAGCTGCAAAACAGAAGTGAACTGTTAAAGAGTGTTTTCATCTTTTTCTTTCCCACCTGTTTTTCTCCTTTTTATGACATCTTTTCCTAGATTTAACACATTTAAAATGGGCCCACCAAAGAAAGAGGTGTGGGTGGGTGGGGGGAGCTGAGGAGCCTTCAAATGAAAAAGAAAGAATGTAGCTTTCGGGATTCACAGCAGAAATACTGCAAATGTGTGTGCGTTCCATTTGCATGTGTTTAAGCAACGTTTAAGGAAGACGCCATAGACAGATTAAGCTCAGCCAAATCTCTTTATGCCACTCAAGTTGTTTTAAACCAGTAACAAACACCTGAGACCTCATTGCTTGTCTGGCAGTCAGAGAAGGATGATCTAGGTAAGTTATTCATCCTGGTTTACTTGGTCAAGTCTCCATGGAGGCTGATTCTATGATTGATGAAAACCTGCTGTCCCACAAGATACAGTGTATGCTTGAACTGCCACCGGTTCAATATGGCACCTTTTCACCCACAAGAAAACCCAGGTCCAAGTGTTAGGAGGTAGATGTGAATGGCTTCTCATTGTTACCCATAATAACCCCTTGCAAAAGTTTTGTTTCTGATCCCCACAACTTCATGCACTGCTGGTCTAGAAGTTTTAGTTCTCAAGGGAGGAACACTGTCACCAATGAGTGCAACAAAGGTGCAGTTAAAGAGAGAGCTGAGACTGCCATCTGGTTACATTTGCCTTTTTATGCCACTGAAGCAGTAGGTAAGAAAAATGATGACTACAATTGCTGGGGGAATTGATCCTGGTTATCAATGAGAAACAGAGTTCCTGCTACATCATGCAGATAAAGAATATGTGAAACTCAAAGCATTCCCTGGGTACCTTTCTTAGTACTTATCGTGTCACAGGTCAAAGTTAATGACCACCACCAATGTAGGCAGGAAAGGGAATGAAGGTTTTGGTCCTTCCACAAGGCGAAGACCCATGACCAACGGTGGAGCTGGCAGCGGGCAAAGGGAATACAGACTGAGGAGTGGAGTATGGCCTTGCACAATTGCTAAAATGTGGACTCTAAACCTACATGTCTTACTTTTTGTGTTTTTACAAATATATTAGTATATTACCATTAGCAAATTGATTTTATATAAGATGTGTGGTTAGCTTTTGATTTTTGGCTTTAGGTTCACGGGATTATCAAAGGGTACGGCCCACTGAACTAGAAATGGATATGGAGACTTTGAATCTCCATTTTGGGAAAGAATGTTCATTTGGGATAGCATGTTCATTTGCGTGAGGGATAGTCATATTAGGAGCCTGCTGTTGTTGCTGTAATTTTTTTGTCTGGAAGTTATACATTATGGTCGAATAGTCCACCAAAGTGGTGGACTTCACTGGATTGCCGGTTGCCAAGTCAGCCCTATACATTTTTCCCCTGCACTAGAGGAGCTGGGAGTCTTGGAATCTACATTTCCCATAATCTTTGCCAGCAGCTTTCTGGGATTTCTCTAATGACAGGTACTCAAGGTCTGGAAGGCAGAAGTGAAGCAGAAGCCATCAGATTGCTCCTCTGGCAAGTGGGCTTTTGCAGATGTGCCATTTTATAGTGGCTTCCACTTGTTTTCCTTGACAACTTCCTTGAATGACTGACCCAGCCCCAATGTGCCTATCTCCTGTGAAAAATAAACCATTAGATTAATGGACTAGTTTGAGTTTCTATTACATGCAATTAAACATAATCCTGATAAAATCTGTATAAAAGGGATGACAGCTAGTGTTCATTTTCTGACAAAATCATGTATCCAAACACATCTGTAGAGACAAATATTTTCTAGAACAAAAAATTGAGCCATACTATAACATTGATCCTTTTTGAATGGGTGATATTAGGCAATCCAGTGGATAACGGCTAACATATTAAACTTCATTTGTGTCAAAGATACTGAATCACTGAAAATAAAAACTCTTGTAATGATCCTTGTAGAATGGTTGAAGTTTCATTCTCAAAGGATAATTCAGGGATGGCATTTTTCCAAGTAGGTGAGATAACAGAATCTAAATGTTTTCTGGGACCAAACTTGGAGAACTGAAAGACCAGTTAACACATGAAACATCCTGCAAATTACAGCTACTTAAGTGGCATTCATTGATACTTTGATTTAATTACCTTTTTCTATTCTGTATATTTATCATTGCTGATCAACCTGAAAGTGATATGCTACAGATACCAGAGAAAATGGGTCCATTTTGATGTGAACATCTGAGAAGCAGAATGGTTTCAGAGTCCTGTTTTGCTGCTAACTTCCTGGGTTTTATTTTCTTCTTGCTGGTTGATATGGCTTGGCTCTGTGTTCCCACCCAATTGCATGTTAAACTGTAATTCCCATATGTCAGGGGAGGGACCTGGTGGGGGGTGAAGAGATCATGGGGGCAGATTTCCACTTGACGTTCTCATGAAAGTGAATGAGTTCTCGTGTGATCTGATGGTTTGAAAGTGTGAGGCACTTCCCCCTTCACTCTCTCTCCTGCCAGCATGTGAAGAAGGTGCTTGATTCCCCTTTGCCTTCTGCCATGACTGTTAAGTTTCCTGAGGTCTCCCACTCATGCTTCCTGTTAAGCCTGTTAAGCCAGTGAAACTGAGTCAATGAAACCTCTTTCCTTCATAAATTACCCAGTTTCAAGTAGTCCTTTACAGCAGTGTGAGAACAGACTAATACCCTTGTACTATAGAACAGATCATAAGTTCTTAGAGAGGAAACAGGACATGAATTCAGACACATGATGACATGATAAGACTCAAAACTTTAGCCTATAAATATCTACACCAAACAGGGACACACAGGGCAAAGGGAGACAGTAGAGTCTCATTACTGAGATTTTAGAGGTGCCATAATGCAGGGATTTAACAGTATGAATTCTGAAATCAGATTTCATGGGCTTAAATCCAAGCTCCAAAATATAAGAGTAACTGAGGCAAGTTAGGTCACTTATCTGAGCCTCAGATTCCTTATCTGTAAAACGAGGATAATTTTCTTCTTTCAATAATTTTTCATGAGGACTAAATAAATTGATATAAATGCCTAGCACATAGTAAATGTATGTTTACTATTATTACTATGTCACTCCATTTAATTGCTGGAATGAAACCTATTAGTTTAACAATGCTAAAGATTCTGGGAAATCAATACAGATTTATGGCCTTCTTGAAAGGAGTGTTTCATGCAGTAAACTTCAAAGCTATTACAGGAAATAATAAAACTCCAGTAATTATAATCATAAGCTCCCTTGGCTTTAGAATGCATCTGTATATCACGGAGTCACATGCAAAAATGGACCCATATGCTAATTCCTTGAAGTGCTGATTAAGAAGCAATCAATACTAAAATAATTTTCATGAGATTTTATTAATTTGAAGATAAAGAACATTACTGAAAAGCTCTATTAACAAACACTTGTGTAGCCAGATGTGCTTTTTTCCTTTTAAAGAAAAATTTTGACATAAACACACATCCCATTCATTGATATGTATTCATTTCTTATAGCTGCTTGATATGGTTTGGCTGTGTCCCCACCCAAATCTCATCTTGAATTGTAATAATCCCCACCTGTCAAGTACAGGACTAAAGTGGAGATAATTAAATCATGGGGCAGGTTCCCTCCTGCTGTTCTCATGATAGTTCTCACAAGATCTGATGGTTTTATGAGTGTCTGGCATTTCCCCTGCTTATACTCCTTCTTCCTGCCACCATGTGAAAAAAGATGTGTTTGCTTCCCCTTCTGCCATGATTGTAAGTTTCCTGAGGCCTCCTCAGCCATGTGGAACTGTCAGTTAAACCTCTTTTCTTTATAAATTATTCAGGCTTGGGTATGTATTAGCAGCGTGAGAATGAATTAATGTACTGCTTGAATGCAAAATGTAAGACAAAGAAATTGGATCTTCGTTGACACTCACCTATGTGCTTGGAGCCTTTATGAATGAGGGACATCTCAGCCTGAGATGCCGTTGCATTATCTACATCTGTGTTTTGCTGCTAGCAGCAGAATCACAGAGTTCTGTGTAGAAGGCTGCTCCACTAATGAGATGTGACACAATTTGCTAAACAGTTGACCTACACCATAATTTACTCCCTCAGAAGGTTCTTTACCTTTTTGTAGGCTTGTGGTTTGTAACATCTTAGAGTTCAACACACTCTAAGGCCTAAATGACTGAGTGAAAGGACTTCAGAAGCAATGACACCATTTCTGCAAGAAATGACAGGCCCAGGGCTGTTTAAGAACATCCAGCCCTGTCCTGATAGAAATGTACTGCCACTTTTAAAGACATGAATTTTAATTATGCTATATTTAGTGCAAAACTTCTCATTTTTCTTTTTGTGTTCTGTACCTGAGGGCTGCTGCATAACATGATTAAAAATAGGCTGGGTATGGTAAACTCCTTTGAGAGCTGCTTCCCAGTTGAGGTTTATTGAAAAGCAACATATCAAAGACAAAGAGAGCTGGTCACTGCAGCTTACAAAAGTCAGTGTATTTCTATTAAGGCAAAGAAGTTTTGAGAGATTTGCTATAGCACGTACATGCCACAAACCTCTAAAACTTCCAAAAGTAGGCTGATCCTCTTTAAACTAACTTGCGATGCAGAAATTGGCCTGAGAAGTGGTTTATTACTGATCCAGCTGCGAGGCATTAGGAAGACCGGTTGCTGACAATTGTTTGTAGTAAAATATGCCACCGCCACTCCACAAGGTAAAAATTGGAGAGCTTTTGAAATTGCACACAAGCACTTCAAAAGTAATGGTGATTGGAAACACCTGCAAGAAATTTATCACTTTTATTAAGAAACAATGATGGTACAATTCAAGATAAACCCCAGATGTCTGAAGAGTTGTTTCAGAAGGTGAAAAAAACGGCTCTCTCTAAGAAATAATGGAAAAAGATTCATTCTGTTTGGCAAAACATTTTATTCACAAAATCTCCCTTTCCTCCTTAACTCTCTGCTCAAACAACTCTTAAGGCTGGAAGCCGATGTTTGATATTTACACAGCTCAAAATCTGAATACCCACTAATGTATTGTAGCTGTTCTGCATGTACTCTACTGCTTTCTATTCCCTCCTACCCCATCTTTGTTCTTAAAACCTAATGGTAATACTGAATGAAGAGCTCAGACGGGATGAATAAAACCCCCGCCATCCCTCCCCGCCACATAATTTGTCAGGAAATCCTACTTCTAAAATCATCCTCTCTTTTCAGAGAATGAGGCCATTCTCTGGAATGAAAGCAACTGGCAGAGAAATGACTGGCAATCACAAGTGATACACAAAGGCATTTTTATTGCGCTGGGGAAAAACCACTACTGCTCTCTTTGGTTCACAAGAGTTTTCTATACATTTCAAGATTCAGTAAGTCAGTGTGCCAAAGGAATTATTACAACATCTTTCTCAGAAAGTATTCGTATGTCTGCTTTTCTTTTTTCACCTCTCTCTGGCTCCCTTGCAACTTGCCTCACTTGATTAAAATTGACAAATTTTGGTAGGATGGTTAGCAATGTAAGTAGGTAAGGCTCAGGGGAGGTGTCTCAGTGTGACACTGAGAACAGACTGGCAGACAGTGATCTCCAGGCATCAGTATCCACCACCGCAGGAGCTAACTGTACCAGTTATGGAGATGTTAAGGGTGGGATGGTCACCCCGGGCAGCCTACTTCAAAAACTTTTAAGAATCTTTAATGTTCTAATAGGGAGCTCCTTGTACTTTCTTCCTGAGCATCAACTACGTAAGGTGCTAACTACACAATGCTCTTCCCTCCTACCACCAGGCAATCCAGAGAGCCAAAAGTGCGGTCGCAGGCTGCACGCCGAGCGACCGCTGGTGTGCATTCTCCTAAGAGTAGTTCTTCTTTCTTTTGCTTGGAATGTTAGGAAGGTTTCCCCTTATTTGCTTTCTTGCCAGCCAGTTGATGAAGAGTGGGAACAGGTATCAGGAACCCTCAGGTTTCCCAGAACCTTGAGGGAAGAAGAGATTTGGCAAGCATTCATTTATTCACGTAACATAAGCCAGACACTATCCCAGGCGCTGGCGATACAGAAATGAATGACATGATCCCTGGCCCCTTCCATCGTTGGAATGTCTACTAGGAAGAAGTTGCTGGAAAAAGACAGTGTGCTACAAAGCCAGGGGGGCCCAGTCTCCCACCCCAGCTTGGTACATACTGAACACATTCAAGGCTTATGACTAGTTCTTTTACCTACAAATATTGTTTACACACATTTTCAGATGTCACACCAACCAATAATAAGGAATGGATTTTACCTACATTGACAGTTCTTTCAACCCTACGAGTAAACTGCCACAGGTAAGATTCAATCACATTTTTCAGGAGAAAGCTATTGAGACCAGAATGCTTTGGTTATCTAATAAGAGTGGAACGACTTACAGTGCTATTTACTCCAGGCAAAGAGAAACAAAATACAACAAACATAGGATCTTGATTTCAACGTGGTTCTCCTCCATGTGCATTTCCCTATCTGCTGAGGTCAATGCCAACTGGTCTACCAGTGAACATGTCCACCAGCCCAGAGCTTACTCATTGGTTTATAATTATTTCTGACCCAATGTTTTTTACTTCTTCTCTCTATAGGTATCTGGCACAATTGAGTGAAGCCAGTTAATAGAAGGGTAAACACAGCAAAATAAAAAAAGTATTATTTCCCAAATAGAGAGGGGAATGATGGTAGAGATTCTCATATAGAGAAGGGAATGATGGGACAGATTCTCAGCCCCACTTTGGGCTGTAAAAGAATAAACAAACATTTTTACCTTAACCCTTCAAGTTCAACCTCATCTACCGATATGACATTCACATACTCTGCCAGATATTCTCACTCTCAGAAATGTACCCCCTCAATATCAATGCTTATAAGAATGTATAACAAAATGCATGCTCTGCAGATATAAATACTCTGTAAAAATCCACAAAAACATCCAGAGGCCCCAAAGAATAGAGGCATAAACAGATATAAGATGATAGGTCTTTCTTAGCAGAAAACACTGCAAGTGAAGAAACTGCAGTGAAGAAAACGGAGTGAAGGAAGTGGGGGAAGGAGTTCAGAAGTGAAACAGAGGAAAGGTGCTCATGAGACGACTGCAAGATATTTATTGGAATCCTTTAGAAACATCACGCCATCTTCCCAGAATAGAAGAGGTTTATTCTGGGTGGCACAGATCCATTCAGCTTTCATGATCTTCGTCCGTAGCACTGACCAAATTAAGATACTGCAGCGTTTCATCGTGGTTAACTGGATGGAAAGGAGGAAAAAACTAAAACAAAACCAAGTATTTGGGTTTTGTCTAAACACTTTAGAATTTGATACAAACGTATCAAGTACATTAATGGCTGTTTTAGTTGGACGAAAAAGAAAACAAAGAATCAAAAATAAATTACTAATAAACATGGAAAAGATAACATTTCTAATATGACAATAGTTTTGACAAAAGATATGTAGACATTAAGCTAAGACAATTCAAACATCTACCATCTTCTGCTCCCTTGCCTGTTACACTGCCAAGCTGTTCAGCAGGCACACAGGTGCACATACACATACACTATTTTCTGGCTAGTGTCCTTTGCTATTTGATCTTTGCTCTAGCATAGAGTTTTGGATGTCTTAAAGACTAAACTCTTTGTAAACAAACTACATCCTCATCTCTGAAGCGCAAAATTACATGGTCTTGACCCAGAGAAAGAGGAGAGACATTTACTTGACATTTCTCTTCCAGTTAGGTATGAATCTGATCTACAAAATAGTTTATTTACCCTTTTAATAAAGGTTGAAAAAATGTCCACCCTGGATTGAAAAATCAGTTAACCAAGGGGAATATTTTTTTTAAGAGCAGTTTTAAAAAGTGTTAACTGCTGTGTGTTAGACATATTTCCTTATATCCAGCTACTAGAGAGAAAAACCAGTTCCCAGGGCATTTCGGGGTTTCTGCTTCTATATGTGGTCATCTTGTATGAGTGCTCTAATCTATTCTCTGTGTGTATATAGCCTCCTATTCATAAAACTAGCTGAGGTATTCACGCTGAGATGAATACACATGCTCTAAAACCAGAAGCTAAAACCTAATTGACCCAAGTACCATCCGGGTACATCAACACATACCCAATAATGAAAACTTGTAATGTTTTCATCAGCAAAAAATGGGTGATATTATGTTATGTAAGGCTGTAGCCTATTAAGAGTTCAGAGACTCCAGATATGTAGCAATCAAATCGCCTCTAGGGACAGGTTCTTCTATTAAGTGATAAGAAAAGTAGCTTTTGTTACTTTTAAAAGGTTATTTAACACTTGGATATTTCTAGCACCATCAATTCTGAGGGACTCCACATATTTCAAAGCAAGTGGCTTTTGATCCTATGAATGGGTTCACATCTAATTCAGCATCTTTCAGAAGAGCCCATGACTGGCTCTAGAAAGCTGCCAATGTCCAGAACAACAAATGACTCTATAAACTCAGTGATTTAGGTGGAGAAATAATATTCATATTTTAAGTAACAAAAACCCCAGGCAGCTTAAGTGACTTCTTTTCCAAGCGACCTGGTGACTCTTGGACATTTATCTTCACTGCCATTGCTCAAATCCATCAAAGAATAGCTCTGGACAGTGGAATAAACATAACACACCACGGAATGAGCCCAGAAGACCTGGAGAGCCACGTCTCAGTTTAAGAACACAATGTGCACACCACACACAAAAAAGTCTTTGTCTATAGGCAAAAAGAGAAGTGGCCAGTGAGTTCAGCTGCTTCCGGAGGAGCAGGTACTGCTATGTAAGGTCCCAGCTGAGTGAAGAAAGGGGATAGAAAGTGCAGCCACTTCTGTGCCTGTCAATCACAGACTATACAAGAGCACACACAAGCTATGCATATTACAGCAATAGCTTTCCTCCCACTCAAGACTGTCCCATGAGAGGAAAACTGGACCTTTGAAATGATTTGCAAAGAGAGGCACGTTTCCACATACAATCAAGCACATCCAACCATCCTCAATACCCATGGGGAACAGTAAGATACCTTATAGGACAAATAGGTAACTTTCAATTGTAGTTGAGGTTTGACCTGATTTATACACCACACCCAACTCTATATCTTTGTCTGTGCATCCCCTGACTGGTGGTGATTCTATCAGAGTCGTCAGGCAGAAGGGAATCTCCTGGTGGTGAAACCTTATCCTCCCACTAGGGACCCGCCCTTCTGCCCTGTGAGTGCCTGGCTGGGCCAGCAGGGGCAGCCATGGCTCTCATGGTGCTGAATAGGGTCAACTGCTGCTGGGCCATCCCGCTGTCACCACCGTGATGGGCTAGGTAAAGGGCTTCCTGGGCTGCCAGTCCGTAACAACCTTCCTTTCTTTTATCACTGTGCCTGCTGTGAGATGTGCTACACAGCTGCCTTAATCGCAGAAAGCAACGTATAGAAGAAACATCTGACTTTTGCATAGGAAAAAAAAAAAAGCAAAATGTGGGAAAGAGGAGTCCCACCAGTCTTGCTCCAGTGTTACTGGGACTTGGCTCATGGGAACATCTGTTTCCTTCCCAACTTGCTGGAGGAAGTCCAGCCCTGCTGTTACCAGTGCCTCAGTTTACTTGGCCACTCCTGATACCTGCAGCGTCTGACTGACTGCGAGGTGCTGCTGAGGAAGCGAAAGGTGACGGGAGACAAAAGGGATGAGGCCACAGGACAATGGCTGCTGGGGCAGAGATGCATGAGAACAGCAATAGAAGGGACAATCTTTTCCAAGACCATGGACAATAAGCCAGTAGTTCTGGGGACGCAGAATTCAATAAACAAGAATAATACTGAATATTTTGGTAAACAAAACAGAAATAAATGTGTGGGCTGTTTAATAGTCCAGAACTGCTCCTTTCTCTACTTTAGGGCTGAGGGGTTTCTACTGACTCTACACGTGTTGGTCTGTATCGCCACGAGCAAGGTGAGAAGTCCCCTCCTCCCGAAGACTTCCTGTCGCACGGCCGGGTAGCTCGGCATTAACAAAAGCGAATCGGTGGTCAGATCTTCACCGGGTCCCTCCCTCACGACGACACTGTTCTAATACTGCAGGCAGGCCTCAGTTCTGCTTGTTGTCCTTCTGAGGCTCACTTTTTGTGGTCCCTAGGTTGTTCCACACCTCTGTGTACATTAAGGTCCCAATGAAAACAAACGAGGTGCCCAGCCAGTGCCACAGGGTGAAGGGGTTCCGGAAGTACAAGATGGAAAAGATGAGGCTCACAAATTTGCGTAGGGTCACGACGAGCGTGACAGTGAGGGAGGCACACTCCGTTGTGAGGATGAACACACCCCGGATGCACACATACCTAGAGCAGTGGAGTCAAGGTAGTTTTCTGTAGACTGTACTTGGGGCATCAGTGGGAGAACCTTCTGCCATGGTCCCCAGCTTAACTTCTGAAGTTCTAAGAAAACATGAAGGTCTTCTATGGCAGCTCTGAGGCTCCTCCTGGGGAGAACCTGCAGAACTCCTGCCATTCCATTTCTGGGTCCCAATTCAAAACTACCTAAAAGCCCTCCTAATTCTTATGTTGGAGTCTTCCTATAGTTATAATGACAGGCACCCCCAAGGTAATGACAGAGGGTAACTGGGAGTGTTAGTAAGAATGATCCCATTCACCTTTATTTATCTTGCCTCCAGCCCTTCTATCCCCTCCTCCAGAAAGGAACTCTATGGCAAATATAGGAGCAGGAGCTGACTTCAGAGGAATGAGGTCAATCTTGATTCGTTTCACTATTTCAAAGACAACAATATTTTTATAATGAACGTAAGGTCATTCAAAATAACCATTTAAAAGAACAAAACCTTGATTACTTTGAAAAAAAATTTTTTTTTTTTTTGAGACAGGGTCTTGTTCTGTTGCCCAGACTGGAGTATAGTGGAGTGATCAAGCTCACTGCAGCCTTGATCTCCTGGGCCTGAACAAACCTCCCATCACAGCCACCTAAGTAGCTGGTAATTTGAAATTTCTTTCAGGACTTTGTGGCAGCTTGTTATAACTGGAAATATCTCAGGACACCCAAAAAATCCCAGGTAGAAATCACAGATGATTTATGCTATACAGTAGCTTCTTGTTTGTTTGAGACAGAGTCTCACTCTGTCATCCAGGCTGGAGTGCAATGGGACGATTTCAGCTCACTGCAACCTCCGCCTCCCGGGTTCAAGCAATTCTCCTGCCTCAGCCTCTGGAGTAACTGGGAGTCAGGCACTCATCATCATGCCTGGCTAATTTTTATATCTTTGTAGAGATGGGGTTTCACCGTGTTGGCCACACTGATCTCAAACTCCTGACCTCAGGTGATTCGCCCACCTCGGCCTCCCAAAGTGCTGGGAGTACAGGCCTGAGCCACAGTGCCGCCACTACCGATCGACAGACTCCACTTCCACTCAGAGCACTTCCTTCCGCTGCCCTGTGCCTTACTGACCTACTGCACAACTAACATCTCTTCTGCCCTCTACAAGGAGTTCCCTGAATGGGTTTCTTTGTCTCCAGCTTACTGCAGAATAAATCCAGTGAAAATCAGATTCATTTTAACACACCGTTAGAAGAAAAAAATGACCATTCCTATGCCAAAAGAACCTGAAGATGACACAAAGGTGACAGCAGAGTCCAAAGGATACTGAGTGATGACGTTCATGAGGAGGTAGAACCACATGATGGGCAGGGTCACTCCGATGACTGGAACTTCATATAACTCTGCAGAGATTACGAGAGGATATAGCCATATCACTTTTTCACAGCTGAATTTTTCTTATTTTTAACAGGGTAATACAGATGGAACCTAATAAGAACAGCAACACTGTTTTCCGTGCAAACAGAATTGGACCACACATCACTTTACTTGCCTTGACTCCAGTCTATATCAGCCACCAAAGTCATTACGATGGTTTCTTAAAACAAATAGTTGTTTTAATTTTTAAGTAAATGCTTTACTATTTGCCTGAATAGTACCTCCCTTTACAAAGAAAGACTGTGAAGCACAGAAAAGTTCAAAATGATACAGCCTTAACTGGCAATTGACACCAGAGGAAAGGCAGCTAGTAACTACATACTGTTTGGAAATATGTTCGATCATACTAGTAATTACAGAATTCTAAAGCAAATAAGACTGTACCATTTTATAGCTACTAAATTAGCAAATTCAAAATTTATTTATTTATCTTTTTGAGACAGAGTCTCACTCTGTCATCCAGGCTGTAGTGCAGTGGCGTGATCTCAGCTCACTGCAACCTCTGCCTTATAGGTTCAAGTGATTCTTGTGCCTCAGCCTCCCAAGTAGCTGGGACTACAGGCACATGCCCCCACACCTTGCTAAATTTTGTACTTTTAGTACAGGTAGGGTTTTGCCATGTTGGCCAGGCTGGTCTTGAACTCCTGACTTCAAGTAATCTGCCTGCCTCAGCCTCCCAAAGTGCTGGGATTATAGGCTACAGCCACCATGCCCGGCCAATTCAAAATTTATAAATAATGTCTTACTCTGGTAAGGTAGAATGGAACTGGCAACCATAGGTTGGTGGCAGTGTAACTTGGTGTCATTCTTTAAAAAATCAATTTCATAATCCTTATTGAGGGTATATAAAAAGTATTCCTACCCATCCTTCAGAATTAATCCTAGATAATTCAAAAGAAGAAAAAGGTTCTGCATTCATTAAAGTACTGTACATTATAAAGAATAACTCTGAATCAAAATCAATCAAATGCCCAATGATGGTGCAATGGCTATATAAACAAAGGAACTTTCATTAGAGGAGACACTGTACGTTTGATAAAAACAAAAATCATGGAGATTATATTGTCATATTAAAAAACTCAGAAAAAAAGTAAAAAACAAATATAAAATTATATCCACACAAGGATTACAGCTATGTAAGAATCTCTATAAACAGACATGGTCTAGAAGAAAACCAATAAATATAAAATTAGCAGATATCTAGGTTGATGGAACTAGACATCTGTGAATAACTTTAGATATACTCTTATGTTAGTTTCAGGCCAGGAGTAGTGGCTCATGCCTGTAATCTTAGCACTTTGGGAAGCCAAGGCAGGAGGATCCCTTGGGCCCAGGAATTTGAGACCAGCTTGGGCAATAGTCTTGTCTCTATTACAGTACACATACGGCCGAGCACAGCGGCTCACGCCTATAATCCCAGCACTTTGGGAGGCCAAGGCAGGTAGATCACAAGGTCAAGATATCGAGAACATCCTGGCCTACATGGTGAAACCCCGTCTCTACTAAAAATACAAAAATTATCTGGGCGTGGTGGCGTGTGCCTGTAGTCCCACCTACTTGGGAGGCTGAGGCAGAAGAATCGCTTGAACCTGGGAGGCGGAGGTTGCAGTGGGCCAGGATTGAGCCACTGCACTCCAGCCTGGTGACAGAGCAAGACTCTGTCTCAAAAACATCACACACACACAAAAAAAACCAAACAGAAACCAAAAACCACACACACATACACACACACTCTCTCTCTCTCTCTCTCTCTTTCTTTTATGTTAGCTTTATATAATGACACCTGCACAGTAAATTTGTGGGAGGATATAAAATAAGATGAAAGATAATAAGGACATAGGAATCCTCAAAGGGTCAGTTTTTTTGTATTGCTAAATTATTTTCAGGTTTTGAATTATACAGCATAATTTAAGAAGTTCTGATACAGTGATGCTGACATCTGGTAAGAAAATAAACATTAATTTTCTTTCGCCAAAAAATGTCATTCATACACACACACACACACACACACTGTACACATACACAGAAAGACTAATTTTTGAAACTTGGTTCTGGGTCAGTGGGCAATGCCAATAATCTGGTATTCTATTGCCTTTGATATACTTAGAGGTATATCAAAAACATAACAAACGTGATTACTAATTTCAGGGAAACACTGTATCTCTGAAGGAAAGATACAATGAATATCACTTAAAATATTTTGATGAATATTTAGCTCTCTTGAAAAATTCACGAATCCCAGATACTTAATCTCAAGAAAAGCGAGAAGGAAAATGTATCTTTAACTTGGAAATGATTCTGAAGAAGGCAGATTCTCTAAAACATTTTATCATAAATACCTAACTCTGTGACTTTTAGAAGCAGCATTCTAATAACTAAATCAATTGCATGGAATTTGACATTTTTATTTCAACAGCCCTTTGCTATGTGGGGCTTCTCAGAGATCTTAAAAACTGTTGTGTTAATATGAGGAAATGATTATTTGAGTAATTCAGAGTCTTACAAACTTTCTTACACGCTACCTTCATCACATTTTTGGGGACTGGGGCAAATGGGAGAGGCAACACTATAAATGCAGAGAATAGTCCTAACTTCGCCACTCATGCTCACATGGCAAACAAATGTTTACTGAGCACCTACCGCCATTCTACAAAATGTACTTAAGCATTCAAGGTGTGTGCAACATAAAGCCTTAATTCTAAAAATGTTTACTTGTTCCTTGTGTGTTCAATTTGTCTATATAATACTCTTTTAGTAGATAATCAGCTCATATAAGTGATCCCTTTCAGGTTAACCGACAATCTATAGCTAATTTATTAACTTGCCACTTTAAAAAGTAATAGCTAACTTACATTAGATGCTTGAAACTAATTTTGCTTATTCATCTGCTACCTATCTCATCTGTAAGTAGGAGAAAACCCTTGTCATCATTGAGCGCCCCTCTCGCTCTGCTCCATGGCAGCTTGGGCTGGATCTGTGAGCAGCTCTGTCTTTCATGGCAGAGAAGGATAAACAGCAGTTGAGAGAGCTGGATGGCTGCCCAACTTCGCAGGGCTCCAGTCTCTGCAGTGTGCTGTGAGTATTCATTTGTATTCTCAAAACATCGAACATTTCACATTCAAATGCCAACACACAAATTCCAAAGCCAAACAGAAAACTCAAAGATATTCTTTTACTTCATTTGTAAATAATTGAGAAACGCCTGTAAAAGCTTTTGCTGCTGCAATGACTGGAAAGTGGAATGGAGACATTTTCAAAAGGAACACATGATTTGAATAAAAGGCCATGGTCAAGTCAAGAGTGAAACTGAGACTCTGCCTCAGAAACTGTCAGGTAATTCTACTGTCTAACCCCAGACTCACCAGACTTATTGAATAGAACTGCATGGTCATAAATATCAGAGGCCAAGAAGACGAAACCAGGAAGTGGAAGGGCGTGCTATGGAAAGGAACAGGTCACATAAATTTCAGTGCCAAAACATTACAGGATAACTGGAGTAGCTTTACAATGATTAAAAGTTGTACGTGTTATTTGACAAGCAATATAAATAAAAGTAAGTTAGACTTAAGTTAAATGTATACAGTGCTCCTTGACCACTTCACATCGTATGGCAGGATATCAACTCTCAAATTATGGTTCTTGCCCTTATAGGGTCTGAGGGCCACCACAGACAAAGCAAACAATGAACCCAGCATCCTTTCCCCAACAACAGGGAATGGAGACATTTAAACACATAGTCATTCTGCACAAAAGAATTTGCTAAATGTGCAGACACAATTTAATTCACACTGATTGACAGTGATCATCTCATGTAGTGAACTGTGGCTCAGAACCCACAAGAGCATCCCATCAAAACTGCCTCAGTCTGTGGGTCTGAAAGCCAACTACCAATAATATACCTTAACTACATCAGAAGAATGGTATAGTTCACTTAAAGTAACATTTTACAACTTAGGAATTTTCATGTTCAAGAAGTTGCTTACGTTATAAAACAAAGCCTCCTTGGAGTGTTTCCCAAATCGTTTGTAGAGAGTCTCTTGGAATATACCCATCCTTGCTGACATCAGGAGAGCAAAAGTCAGTGCCCCGATACCTAGAAAACAAACATCAGCTTACAAGATACTTGCATTTGTTCATTTCCAGATGTTTTTCTTGAAGAACATTGTTTAATGTCTTGCAAATACTACAAACTAATTGTAGAACATGTACAAAATTGTAAAAAGAAATAAAAATACGTTATTACCATCTAGTCCTTTTCAGCTTTCTACATCTCCTTATGTATTCATTTATGTAAATTTTTTTACACTAAGACAGGATCAGATGGCATATGGAATTTCACATCTTGCTTTTTTCATAAGCTTTTGCCTGGACTTTTCCTTCAAATCAGTCATTAAATTTTTTTCAGAAGAATACTTTTAATGACGATCATATGGACGTACCATACTTAAATGTCTTATGAGAATGATCATTTCCAATTATTTCATTATTAAAATCAATGTACATCCTTGTATACAAATCTTTAAACAAATGTTGATATGCTTTAGGATAAACTCTTACAAGTGCAATTACTGACTCAAAGGCTGTGGACATTTAAAAAAATATAATACACAATATTTTTCCATAAATGCTGTGTCCATTTATACCCAAACTATTTTTATTACATAAAAATAGTTGTCTTACTGTACCCTCAGCAGCAATGAGAAACCATTTATCATCTTGCCGATATGATAGGCCAACATAAAAAGGTATTACATTTGGGTTTCAATTTGCATTTCTTTGATTACCAGACTAGTGAGGCTGAACCTAAAATTGTTGGGCACTACTATTTCCCCCATGGACTATATGTACATAAGTACTATATGTACTTTGCAAATTTTTCTCATTGGGTATTTTTCTAATAGCTCATAAGGATCTTTCTAGGTTACAAACAGCAACCTAAAGAGACAGTTTCAAAGCCAAGAAGCAAGGAGAACATAGTTCTTTTCATCGCTATTTCTCTTCCACTTGGTCAGTTTCAATCGTTATTGTTATCACTGAAAGCTCCTGGAACGAGTCTCACCTCCATATCAAACAACATGAGAACAAAGCTCTATAGGAGTTGCCTATTTAATTTCACAAAGAGATCCTTATATTTTAAAAACTTCCCCAGGAGATTCTGATGATGAGTCGGGTTTAGGAACACTGCCATATGGAACAGCTAACCTCTGAAGAAAATAAGGCTTTAGAAATGAGTCCCTTGGAAATGTAAAGAGTCGGTTGCTCTAACATGCCCTGCAAAAGCTTCAACTCGGCAGACAGATCGTGTTGAGACGGATGATGTTCAAAGAGTCTGATGGGCAAGTAGACACACACTTGTCTTTCTACACCAGTGGCAACCAAGAAAAACATGGATCCATGCTGTAGAACATACTGCCACGAATGCGGGCATTTTCTTTTTTTCATTTCTTGAAAAAGGTTCGGAGATATATGATCCCAGGTGCCTCTCTTCCAGGGCATAATTTGTTGAGCTGAAGCTTCTTGCCAAGAAACATGTCTCTTAGGAGAAAACTCAGCAAACACAACTACAGAGGCAATTAGCTTTATTACAATTATCGTACTTGCCTAGTAACCACCATACAAATGCCTGGAATCCATCATTCTCACTCAAGCTGGACTGGGAAGTCTAGGAAATAAGAAAATAAACTAGGTACAGAGAGCAGAACTACATGCAGGACGCCGACAAACAAGGGAAACATTTATGTTACCCATTTCCCTCCATTCTTCTCTTTCAGAATCTTTGTATTACATAAGAATTTGAATTTTATTAATTGCCTGGTAACTAGGCCCTAATAGCAAGTAGTGAAATAAAATGATTTGTGAGCGTCTTACCACCTGCTTTGCTGACATGAAAGTGCAAATAAATATCCCCACAGACACCAGGGTGATGGAGGTATATTTGAATATACTGTATCTGCAAAAAAATAAGAAAAACACCTTAGGAAAGCACAGATACGAATTTCCAAGTGATATTTACAGTCAGATGGTGCATGAAAATACAAATCACTAAAATATGACAGACAGGATTACTTTCCAGCAGAGTCCACAGAAATATGTATATGAATGAATCAGGATACTGACTGGTTTCTAACTGACACTTTTCCTTGGTACTGTTCAGTCTGTTTCTAACGCTTTGTTGACCAATCGATTACTTCATCAGGAAACAAAAACAGAAACAGACCAGGGGTGACAGTTGCATTCTGCTCTCAGGAGTCCAAATGAAAGCCTGACCCAGTCCTTACTAGGATCTATTGCTTTTCCTGTCTTCAGGAGGCCCACATCTGTGTCCTAAGACACACTATCCAAGTGGAAGAACAGGCTATCAAGTGCAAGTAGCAAGATTCAATACTCAGAAAATAATCCAGTTATCCACTCTCTGCAGGAGGCTTATTTTTTTAAAATCTCTGAATGATTTAATGTTGTTTTAAAATGTTGGCATAGTTGGATAAGGGGAAGGATATTCCGTTTATAGAACTATGAGCAGTAATAACAGTAGCATTTCACACTAACTAGTATCATTAGCACCCTCTCAGATTCTTGGTGATCAAGCAAAAGTCCTCAGGCAATGATTAAAAGAAATTAAACTAAGACGATGAACCATCCGAGGTTTTCTACTCAAATACATAGTATTGTTCTGGTCACAGTATCTCATAGAAGGCCTGTAGAACTAGGTAATAAGCAGAGAAAGGAACTAAAAGGGCCAGGAGGACCATGCTAGAGAGGGGTCGGGGGGGAAGCAGGTGCGAGGAAAGGTACAGTAAAAAATAATGCACCTCTTCATTCTGGAAGGATCATGCTGAAGAGGTTTACAACTCAGGCCAAGAAAAAAAAATAATGAAAGGCATGGGTAAGGTGAACATAGATTTGAATTTCAAATCCTGGAATGAGGAGCACAGTGAACTTGAGGGCTTCTACCCAAGATAAAAGGAGATACGAAGTTACTAATTCAATCTACTGGAAAGTTATGGAAATTCCTGCTCTAAGGGAAAGAGATATGTACAGAAAAGAGTCAAAAGGCTTTGACAGATGCAAGATGACAGACTCCAAACAAGTTCTTAAGGGCAACAGATGCTTGAGAAAGACCCCTAACATTTTGGGGCAATATCTGGAGAATACAATTCCTCTTATTACATTTTCTTTTGTATCCTCGTTATGAGACAGAATCAAAGGTTGTGAAAGACCATAGGCCTGTCTCAAGGTGAATTCTACACTACAAGAAGTACGGTGATCACTTCAAATGTAATAAACCTGACCATCACATGTATATATGTTTAAATGCAGAGAACCAAGAAGAAAGAAATCAACTACTGTAGTACTTTTCGGGGAATTCAGAAGCCTCAGGAGATAAAGTGTCCATGATACAGAGCCTAGTGGGACAGGACAATTGTTCTTTTTGTGACACAGCCCTTAACACTTAATAACTCTAGGTTCTCACATTCTGAATTGACAGCTACTTTCCAAGCTTGTATAGAGAGCTTGGGGCTGGATAATGAATACACTGAAAAGTTGCCATCAACTTGTATAATTTTGGTCTTAAAAGTGAACTTTCCCTGAGAAATTTCCTAAACTCTATGTGTTATCTCTCACTAGCATCCTTCCTCCTTAGGAGTGAGGGGTGAGGCTCAGAATGAAGGTGAGAGACAAATATGTTGAAAAACCATCCCAGGTACTTCTGGTATTTCCTGCCCCTATCCCAAAGATAGCCATTGGTGACGGTCACAAAGAATAGCCCTGAACCTTTCATTCCATCTTCTTGGCTATTGGGCCTTTGTTAGGAATTTCCTTTTTAGTATGTACAACTATTCCTTAGTTTGTTATGTTGTACTGAAAAGCGTCTTCTAGGGCAGCAGCATCCCATGGAATTTCTGGAATATTAGAAATGTTCCACCTCTGGGCTCTCCAACGTGGTCACCGCCAGCCACATGTGTCTACTGAGCATTGAAAATGTGACTAGGAATTTGAGACCAGCCTGGATAACATGGCAAAACCAATCTCTACCAAAAATACAAAACAACTAGCTGGGCATGGTGGCGCACACCTGAGGTCCCAGCTACTTGGGGGGCTGAGGTAGGAGGATCACTCGAACCTGGGGGGGTGGAGGCTGCAGTGAGTCAAGATTGTGCCACTATACTCCAACCTAGATGACAAAGTGAGACCTCGTCTCCAAAAAAATTAAAAACTAGAAAATAATGTGACTAATGAAACTGAGGCACAAAGTATTTAATTTTCTTTAATTTTAACAATATAAATGTAAATGTAAACAGTTGCATGTGGCTAGTGGTGACCATAAGTGCAGTGAAGCGCTCTATCATCTCTGTCAGCTGGTGTCACAGGTTAGTACGACATTAAAATTCAATGACGCCAGGAGCTACTCAGTTCTACACAGAGACACCACAGGTGGGGCCTCTTACCTGGTCAGCTGCTTCAGGACATTGCATGATTAGGCCTTACCGGTACAGAAAGAACTAAGAAAAGAGGTCGATGGCCAGGAACAAACATCACTATTTTGGGACAAAGAATTCAGATGACTAGCTTATAGACAGGGGCTCAGGATATCATTTCCATACAGAAAATATAAAAGTATACTGTTTACCTTTTCTTCAAAATGATAATTCCTAGAATCATGTTGGCAATTAGAGAACCCTGCAAAAGGAGACAACAGTAACAGAGAGGTTTAGTGCACTAGGGCAAAAAACACCACAATTCGAGATGAACAGGAACACGGGCAAGGGTAAAAACATGGAACAAAGGAGGCTAGGATAATAATTAGCAGGATTTCGTTGTTCTTACGATGGCAAAAGTATAAGCCATAAAAATCTATTATGATGGCCGGGCACGGTGGCTCATGCCCGTAATCCCAGCACTTTGGGAGGCTGAGGTCGGAGGATCACCTGAGGTCAGGAGTTTGAGACCAGCCTGGCCAACATGGTGAAACTCCGTCTCTACTGAAAAATACAAAAATTAGCTGGATGTGGTGGCGGGCGCCTGTAATCCCAGCTACTCCAGGGGCTGAGGCAGGAGAATTGCTTGAACCCAGGAGGCAGAGGTTGCAGTGAGCCAAGACGGCACCATTGTACTCCAGCCTGGGCAACACAGCAAGACTTGGTCAAAAAAAAAAAAAAAAAAAAAAACCCACAAAAACTATCATGTTAAAAAATAAAACCTTCTAAAAATGACAATGAGAATAAAAAGGATCAATTCTCAATACAGTTCTTATCAGTCCTCCTTATAGGCATGTCTTGCATCCCATGAATACTGTATTTTTGTATTTGGTTGAAACAAATTCGCATATATGTGGACCCATGTAGTTCAAACCCATGTTGTTCAAGGAACAATTGTAACTGGTCAGTCCTGACGCTAGGGCCAACAGAAATAAATGTTATCATAGGTTTATTTTTGTCAAAATTTCCATCTACTTAACTTATAAGAGATTTTAATAAAAGCTTCTCCCCATTACCCACACCCCCTACCCCTGACCAGTTTTAATGGAAAAAGTCATGCAAGAATCTCTCTCTTCTCTAAAAAGGTGACAATCAATCAACGGGTGTTTATTGAAAGTCTACTATGTTTTCACCGCTTCGAAGGTCACCTTAATTATTATAATTAGCTTTGGAAAGTCCCTTCGGGAACAGTACAATCTCACAAAAATTTCAGGCCACATGGAAATGTTATCATCACAATTCTCAGCCTTTTGTGCCTGGACTGCTTTGGGAGAAACCCTACCTTCATCAAGAATTTCCCCTCTATTATCTCAAGTCTCTGCTTAAAAAAAAAAAATCAGAAAAGACAAGTATCCCTTTCATGTTCTAGAAGTAAATGTAATTTTATGGAAGAAAGAAACAAAGAGTAAGTGATAAGAAATAAGTTAAATAACATTAATAGCATGTTTGAATATAAAATTAAAGAGATGGGGGAAAATGAAGGTAAAATGTTTCCTGGGAAAAATTTAATTTTCTTTTAATTAATCACTCATCAGACCTCAGATGAATAAAAGTATACTATCCACTTTGAGATTTCTTTTTGCTTTTCTTTTTTTTTTTTGAGACAGAGTTTCGCTCTTGTTACTCAATAGCGCAATCTTGGCTCACCATAATCTCCGCCTCTTGGGTTCGAGCAATTCTCCTACCTCAGCCTCCCGAGTAGCTGGGACTACAAGCATGCGCCACCATGCCCAGCTAATTTTATTTATTTATTTTTTTTTTGAGACAGAGTCTCACTCTGTCACCAGGCGCCAGGCTAGAGTGTAGTGGCGCGACCTCGGCTCACTGCAACCACCACCTCCCTGGTTCAAGCAATTCTCCTGCCTCAGCCTCCCGAGTAGCTGGGACTACAGGTGTGCACCACCACGCCCAGCTAATTTTTTGGTATTTTTAGTAGAGACGGGGTTTCACCATGTTGGCCAGGATGGTCTCGATCTCTTGACCTTGAAATCCACCCGCCTCAGTCTCCCAAAGTCCTGGGATTATAGGCGTGAGCCACCGTGCCCGGCCTCTTTTTGCTCTTCTTCTCAGATGAAGGCCATCCCTGCTCACTCACTCACAAACCTATTCTTCTACCCAAGACCACTTACCACCTTTCTAGTTCTGCCATATATTCAATCTATCAACTTTACACTTTTCAGAGGCACATGCACACGTGATCCAGCAGCACTTACGGATCTAAATATCATATGCAGGGGCATGGCAATGTTGAGATTCAGGGCATAGTTGTTCACCACGCTCACGGTGAAGAACATGGTTACCATTATGGCATAGTACCTGAAATGCAGACAGAACCGCATATCAAACAGAATCTAGGATTTCAAGAAAATCAAGTATAGGAAATACATATTTTTGGCTACAAAGGCATTTTGCGTATCTCCTCTGTGTTATAGGATTGCATTACTATTACCTGAAGTCAACTACTTAGCACATATCAAAATACTTCATAAAGCCAGACTAACATGGGAAAGCCTGAGTTATATATTTAAAGAAACACTATTTAACATTTTTCAAGTAGACATAGCAACTTAAAACAACTGTATTGATTCTTTGTAGATAATTTTCATATACCTGTGAAGAACTTGAAAATGACTGATTCTCTCAAAGACTTCCTCCATATACTTGTTTGTACTGTTAATTTTTGATGTTTCTAAAGAAAATATTTGCTAAGTTAAGAATTACTTTCAGCCTAGCAGCTGCTAAAATTTTCTCTCATTCTGAACTAGTAGCCTCCAAATTAATGAGGACACGATTTGACTTGTACAGATTTTTATTTAAAATTAGGGTCTCTGTGTTTTGGAAGTTCATAGGTCTTAAGAGATGATAACAGAAACAAAAACTTTTAAAAAAATCCAGCAACCCTAATAAAGGGATAAACACAAATGAGTATTTATGAACAGATGAATTAAATAATTTTACATTTGTATGTCATCGCTGTGATCCAAAAATATATATAAGATGCCTTTTACCTATATTGGGCCTTCTACATATGAAATTGCCATTTTTTATAGATCAAAAAGAGTTGCATGTCAGAAATTTCATATGACTCAACTTACTATATTCAGTAAGAGAAAAAACAGTATTTAAAATAAATGGCTAAAGAATGCAGGGAAAAAGCAAATAAGTGACTTCATATTCTTCAGGAAATGTTGATCTTTGAGATTCCCAACCATTTCCCACCTTTGCACATCTGAAGGATATGACAGCACTGAGTCCTGGGTGATCTTACCTGAAAGAACCTATTCTGTGTTGCTGGTTAGGTATGGAGCCACACACCACAACACACAGTCAAGCCAAGGCTAAATTAATACAGTCTGGAAAGTTTGAGGAACTTGACAATGAACGCACAAGCAAAATTACCAGCAACAGCTTCTTCAGAGCTTCTAAATAATACACTATCGGCAACTTTACAAGGTTTCTTGCCAAATTTTATTAGTTCTATCTTGAAGAGGTACCATTTAGAGTTTGTCAAGGTCTTTAAGGATAATTATTCCACATTGCTTGCCTAGATATTGTTGATGGGGATGAATGACCTGAACAAAATTTTGCTTATGGCTTCACCTACAGAAAATAAAATAGCCACCGATTCCTTCAGGACATAGAAACAGAAATTCCATTTGACCCAGCAATCCCATTACTGGGTATATATCCAAAGGATTACAAATCGTTCCACTATAAGGACACGTGCACACGAATGTTCATTGCGGCACTGTTTACAATAGCAAAGACCTGGAACCAACCCAAATGCCCATCGATGATAGACTGGATAGGGAAAATGTGGCACATATACACCATGGAATATTATGCAGCCATCAAAAACGATGAGTTTGGGTCCTTTGTAGGGACATGGATGAACCTGGAAACCATCATTCTCAGCAAACTCACAGAAGAGCAGAAGATCAAACACCGCATGTTCTCACTCATAGGCGGGTGTTGAACAATGAGAACACATGGACACAGGGAGGGGAGCACTACACACTGGGGTCATTTGGGGGGAAATAGGGGAGGGACGGTGGGGGGTGGGAAGTTGGGGAGAGATAGCAAAGGGAGGAATGCCAGATGTAGGTGATGGGAAGGAAGGCAGCAAATCACACTGCCACGTGTGTTCCTATGCAACAATTTTGCATGTTCTTCACATGTACCCCCAAACCTAAAATGCAATAAAATAAATAAATGGGAAAAATAAATAAATAAAATAAAATAGCCACCACACATAGGACATGCATGGGAATATGGCTGTTAGGGCAAGGTCACAGAGAACCTCAAAGGACAGGCTGGGGAGTTTGGACGTCATTCAGACGTGATCACCACAGAGTGGGGTGACGTGATAAAATGATATTAAGTGAAATGGACAGATGAAGAGGTGTGAGGCAGGGAGGTCAGCCAGCTACAATGCTATTATAAAAGATATGGTAACAGGGTATACCTCCTGGTCTATGCTAGTGGTAGAAGGAATGGGAAGAGACAGTGGGAAGAGGTGGGAAAGGGCCAGAGGAGTCATGAAATGCCAGGGCTCTTACTGCGATGTAAATGCTGGCCTTTAGAGGCAGAAAGTTTTATGCAGATGCTGAAGCCAATGCAAAGCAAAAATTATCTAGGATATTTAGCATCACACTGGGAAATTTAAAAGTATAATATTACTAAAATTCAGCCGGATTTTCTATAGCATGCTACATGGGAATCTGCAAAAGAAAACAACGAAGATGGGCCTTCACCTTCATACTTGGATATATTCATACCAGAATGTCGCTCTCAAAGGAATTAAGTGACACTGCCCTACTAAATACGCACAATTGGATGAATCACACTTTTATCTCAAGTCATTCTCAGCAAGAAGGCTGAGTTTTCAATACATTGTTTATCACAAGAACTGCCCTGTTTTCTGTTTGGCCCCTTGAGTACAATTATGCCAATTTGGACTAATGGACTCCAGGTCTGGCATCCACAAATTCTGACTTCGTTTGCCATTCATTTTCTTTTAATTGAAGTGAAATTCACATAAAATAAAATTAACCAGTTTAAAGTGAACAACTCAGTGGCATTTAGTATATTCACAAAAGTTATGTTACTACCTCTATTTATTTCCAGAAGCCATTCGTTTTTAAAAAGAAACAAGGATACTTCTCTTTTAGAATGTTTGCTAACTTTACCAACACAGAAGGCAGCCCAAAATGTGTGGTCACACTAGGCCTTCTGACTAATCCTATACTAAATAAGCGCACACGCGCGCGCGCACACACACACACACACACGTCTCCGTCACAGTTATTTTAAATCTTGTGGCAGAAATTTTATTTTGGAAGTAGGCACCTGGGAGTTCCACGACATCTTAAATTCAGAAAATGACTTATTATTCTACTGATATCTTTGAAATAAAAATCTATAAAAGAATGTCTCATACTCCTTTTATACCACCTCTTTACTTTCTTAAAATATCCAAAAGCTAAAAGAGACTCTAGTGTGCCATACCTTATAGGGATAGCAGGTGGCTTCCTTCCCAAATCAGCTTCAAAGAGGAAACCTTCCACAGCAATAAATAAAAACTGTGCAAATGTCACAATGTTCCCACATCCTGGATGCTTCCTGCATAGGGAATAACAAAAAGGGAGGGGGAGGCAAAAATGGAGATACCACTAAAATGCATTCTAATTATAGGGCCAGAATAACAGGGTGGATAGATTGCGATTACTCAGTGTCCTTCTTTATCTCAATGTTCATAGCCTTTGTATCATATACATTTAGCACTGATCTCACAGAGAAGGTCAAGCTTTCTTATTTCACTCCTCCCTGCGTGTACCAGGCCATGAGTGAGAATTACTGTGATATACTGGTGCCTAGAACTATGAGACAGCTTTCCTAGTAAACTGTAGGAAATTGGTCATGTGTTCTTATTGGGATCTTTGCTTCACCAAAAAGGTCTTTAATCAGGATCCTAGTCAGCTTAGGTAGCAAAGCCCAGGGACAGAAATACGCTCAGGTCTCCTGGAATGTTTATATATCCCTCCTGACCAGGAATCACCAAGACTGCTGTCAAACGAACAGGGGACCCACTGTTGATGATAGGGACATTACTTAAATGGTGCCCAGAACAGGACAAAAATTGGTTCTTGGGATGGGAGGAATCTTACTCTTTTTATAATAATAAAATACAAATATCAGTATAGTACCTGAACCAGTAGATACTGTATCTATAAGGGGGTGGCAGGGAACTAGGAAAATAATGTCTAAAAACCATTCTGGAGGAAGCCATAATGAACAAAAGGCTGAAAAACACTGCTGTAGTCTATTCTCCGCAACCCTTAACCTAGTGTTTTGAATATATTAGGCACTCAAAAAATGTTTGCGGAATTCAATAGATCCCCTTTAGTGATCTATGAAATGGTTGGGGAACATTCCCCACATTCCACAGTGATTGTTAAGAACAAATTTACAAAGTTAAAAACTTCCTCCTGACATTCATCTTGAGGCACTCTGAAAATCAGTCATTTAAAATGTTCAGGTTTTCTTGAGCTTGTCTTCCATTCAGCTCGGCTCCATCACTGGAAGAAGAATAGAGTGAGCAGTTATCTTTGCTCTCCTGAAGCTTCCAGATTTCCTATAATACCAATATTCACCAGCCTTCGTACTCCGTATTTTCATCTTGACCAAAGGCATTTACCTAAAGCTCGTGAAGAGAGGAATGTCATTGTATTCTTAAGTATTAATATAATGCTACTTATGAGAAATGACTCCATCCTTCATTGGTGGTATTATTATTATTAGACAGCAATGCCAAGATACACAAGTCCTTAAATATATCCATCAGGCACAAAAATAAGACAACTGAGGCATGAGCCATTCTTCTACCGAGCTAGGCTTACTAACTGAAGCAGAAGTCTTGCTATCTTTAAGCTCTGCTGCTTATGAAGGTTTCCTTGAAAAGTGCTGCTTTCTATGCAATTCGACAAGTTATCTTTTAGCACTTCTTATGTTCAAAGGACAAGGTAAAATGTTGCAGGAATCCATAAATAATCATGTAAGACATTTACCTCATTCAAGGAGCTAATTAAAACCATTAGCCTAAATATGCGCAACAGAAGGAACTTTAACTCTAGATGGTTCAGTGCTTTGCAACTCCGGCCAGCCTGCTCTGCTCTTTAAAAATGGCCATGGCTCATGCCCCTAATTCCAGCACTTTTGGAAGCCGAGGCGGGTGGATCACCTGAGGTCAGGAGTTTGAGACTAGCCTGGCCAACATGGTGAAACCCCATCTCTACTAAAAATACAAAAATTAGCCGGGTGTGGTGATGCATGCCTATAATCCCAGCTACTCGGAAGGCTGAGGCAGGAGAATCACTTGAACCTGGGAGGTGGAGGTTGCAGTGAGCCGAGATTGTGCCACTGCCCTCCAGCCTGGGTGACAAAGTGATTGAGACTCTGTCTCGAACAACAAAACCACCATCCAATTTGCCCAAAGAGGCTCACTCTCCCACTTTCAGTTTGATTAGTCTGACCCTGGAATCTGTACTTTTAAAAGCTTTCCCCTTGATTGTCACGTGCACCCAGGTTGGAGAAATACCAGTCAAAGTGCAAGGAAAGGGCTGAGAGTGTGTGTGTGAGTGCAAGTGCCACTGTGTATGTGAGGCACGGGTGGTTCTCAGGTGCTGACACAAGGTTGAGAACCACTATGCTCCATTGTGCTTAAAAGCACAAACTGACATGCAAGATGCTGCTCTGTCACTTACTATGTGACAGCAGAAGTGAATTAATTTACCTACGTCAAGTGTTTTTATCTTTAAAATGGGAACCATATTACTGCCCATCTGTTTGATTTATGGTAGAGTAAGTGAGCCATCCCTGAAAAGCACTTAATGCATGCCTGCCACAGAGTGAAAAAGGCAAATATGATGACCATGATTTAGGATCTTGCATATTAAAAGGTCTTCAACCTTTAAAAGGTCTTCACCCTTTCATCAAGTTGACTAATTTTTCTCATCTCTAAAATGGAACTGACTTCATTGTTGTAGTGAGTATTCAATGAGAAAATATACATAAGTGCCAAGCAGAAGACTTAATCAAAAAAAGGCTTAAAAGTTTCCTTCTATGTTCTCCTTAACAAACTTAGGCCAAGTAAATTAAAGAACAATCATCAAGACCCAATTATGTGTAGAGTTAGATGGCAGCTTCCAGGGAGCCCCCAACTTGTATGGGACCGGACCCCTGCCCAAGAAGTTGGCAATATGAGGGAGCCAGACATGAAGGAGGCAGTCAGAAGCCAGTGCCATAGCACGGTGAGGGGACTGACCAGGTCCCATTATCTTTGTGCTCTCACTTTCGGGTCAGTGACCCACCTTCATTTAAGCCAGAGAATGAATGTGAGGGTTCCAATGTGATCTAGAATCTTATAATTTCTAAGAAAGATAAAAAGAGATTTAAAAAAGGATTCACTTTATATATGCATTCGCTATAGGATTTTTTAAAAGGACATCTTAGTATTTTAAAATTTGATCTTTATGTTATGGAGGTAGATACTGATATTTCATTCCATTTCATCCCATTGCTAAAGATGCTGAGGGTCCCACGGCATTGTGTTAGGTGAGTCTCCCAGGGGTCAACGGCAAATAAACGGCATTTGGAGTTACCCTTAGCATTATTATTGTTACAGTTCAGTGGGGTTCGGTATGAGGTTTTAGTTGTGCAATAATTACCACTATCTAATGTTAGGACACTCCCAAGAGATATTCCCTATCCATTTTGAGTCACTTCCCACTTCTTCCTTCTCCCAGGCCAGCAACAACCCTAATCTACTTTTTGTTTCTATTTTCATAGAATTTAAAAAAATCTCCCGAGTGTACCCGAATAATTCAATTTTTGAAAACCCAACTTATGAAGCCTTTGTGAAACACACTGTTGTATAACTACCGATGGAATTGTTTATTTTAACTTGAATAATTCATTCTAAAACTTCAGAGTGAAAACTTGGATCCCTTAATCTCCTGTTTTCTTGAGCCCTATTCCTCAGGAATTGTAATCACCAACTGCAAACAGTTTCTCTTACTTTGAATTCTCTTGGCAAAAATTCAAATTTTTATTTAAAAAAGTATGCAACTTTGAAGAGAATGAATTTGGCAGATAGTTTATGCCTTTTGCATTTCTTTTGCTGAATTTAGGAAACTTGAATGAAAAATAAAATGGGAAAAAAAATGTTTCAGCTTGTTTTCCTGATGTAAGACATGCAATATCTTGCCTAGTTAACTAGCTGATGTGTGTATATTTTGTTTCCAAGGTAGAATGTAAGCTCCCTAAGGAGGAATATCAAGGCACTCATCCATTACCACCTAACTGCTCTGTCCACTGCATTGTGTTTTATTATTGGTCCCAATTATAGGTATAAAAATCACAAAGGAAAGACTAAATTTGTTTTCCAATTTGGGGAAAATGGTTAAAAATGTCCTCTTCTGCCGGGCGCGGTGGCTCAAGCCTGTAATCCCAGCACTTTGGGAGGCCGAGGCGGGTGGATCACGAGGTCAAGAGATCGAGACCATCCTGGTCAACATGGTGAAACCCCGTCTCTACTAAAACTACAAAAAATTAGCTGGGCATGGTGGCATGTGCCTGTAATCCCAGCTACTCCGGAGGCTGAGGCAGGAGAATTTCCTGAACCCAGGAGGCGGAGGTTGCGGTGAGCCGAGATCGCGCCATTGCACTCCAGTCTGGGTAACGAGAGTGAAACTCTGTCTCAAAAAAAAAAAAAAAAAAAAAAAAAA